CCTCATTAGCTAATATATTAATGCACAATAATCCTTACATTAACATTCACCATTCAGAAATGATTTAGTCATGATGTAACATCATATATAAAAATGCTAAGGGCTGGCCCAGTGGCTCAGTTGGTTAAGAGCTTGCCCAAGAGTGCAAACTCTGACCAACAGGGTCACCAGTTCAATTCCCACATGGGCCAGTGATGCTGGGTCCTGAGCTGAGCTGCCGCTGAGCTGCGAACAGGCGGCAGGATGGCTGAGCTGGTGAGAGCATGTGCTCCTAACAACAAGGCTGCCTGTTCGAGATGGTGGGCTATGCCCACCCACAACTAAAGACTGAACTCAACACCTTGAGCTGAGCTGCTGCCCGGATGGCTCAGGGGATAAAACGTGTGCTCTTAACAACAAGGCTGCCGGGTTCGACTCCTGCATGGGATGGTGGCTATGCCCACCCACAACTAATTGAACACAGCACCTTGAGCTGAGCAGCACGGTGGACTTGGAGCTGAGCTTGCTGTGCCCTCCACAACTGAGATTGAATGACAACAACTTGGCTGTTCCCCTTCCCCAATTCCCCAACACTGTCCCCCTCCCCCAATTCTCCAATAAAATCTTTAAAAATAAATAAATAAATGCTAAAATTTTGTTTAAAATATTCATGAGGGTTTATTCCAAGAATGCAAGAATGGCTTAACATTCAAAACCAATAAAAGTATTCACTACATTAAAAACTAAAACAAGAAACACCACATAATAAGCTTAAGATCAAACACATATTCACCCTGAGCGTGGAAGGCCCCCAAGAATTTCCTTCTACATTCTAACTTGTTGAAAAAGTTTAGCATGATTAACAAGCCCCAACTACTATAGTATCTGTACTAAGGGTATTTTATTCAACATGGTTATGACACTAAAAAAGCAAACTTTTGTTTCTGAAAGGAACTCTAATAGCTCAGGATAAGAGTAGAGCATCTTCCTGCCTAATCGTTTTCACATTACAAACGCATGCTAATTGTATATGATTATACTACTGTGGTATCCAAATGTAAAGTTCAGGGAAAAAAATGAGCACAAGCTCTATGTCCTTTGAGATTCAATATCTTATCTTTGAAAGAAATATTCAATACAGAAAAGGTACTTATTTAAAGCTGTAGTAATAATTAACGCAAAATAATTAAGCTCAACAAACCTGTAGTTGTCTTGTTGTTTATCAAATGCATTTACACAGTGCCAGATGCATATGCAAAACAGAATTTAAAAATGAGACTTCTAAATTATATCCATTATTTCTTCCTCTAGAAAGTTCTAAAACTTACAGGTTACAGATTTGTCAGAAAGTTCTCTTTATCAACTAAAGAAAGGACAACCCAATCTCGGGTATGAACTGTCATTAGTAATTTAGCAGAGCTAGAAGCAGTTCAGCTGAGTAGACAGAAAATTAAAACATGGGCAGCTCCTGATTGAAAATGTATTCATAGCAGGTAATGATACAGCACAGTCAGGATCCCTGCTATTACTCAGGGTGAGAGACTTAATTCTGATAACTCTGATGATGGCACTTGAATCAGAGATTATAAATGGTGACAGTTGGTGACATACAGATAGGATGAAATGAGCATCAGCAACATATCTCTACAGAAGATAATTGTACAGAAGATCAATTTTTTTTTCCAAACAGGAAATACAATAATTTCAAAACATTATTACAAGTTTACAAGGAGGCTTAATTTTAAGCCTTAGGTAAACCATGTACCATTTTCACATATACTTTTCAATGGAATGTAATATTAATCAACATATCGAAGGTAAGGGGAGGAGAATAACTTATATTTTAAGATATGAAATATGAATTGTAGTTTCTGAATTCATCTGGATAAAGAACAAACACAAAATTATAGGCAGAGTAGTTATTCTGTGGAGATGGTCATAGTGAAAGCTTGGGTTTTCCTGTTGTAAATGCATATAAGGGATATTCATTAATTCACTTACATACAGTATGTGTTATTCATATTTATAAAGAATGATTTTTATGTTGGATTTTGTATGCCTTTTTATATTTTCTAATTATCAACAATGGTATTACTAATTTTTAAAAGAAAAGTGTGTTTTTTCAAAATTTCCTATTTCAGACATAACTCTAAACCACAGAAATACAGGTGAGGAAAACAGTATTTTCACAGAGACAGGTACTCAATGCATCTCCTTAGAATTTGTAAAGTGGTATATTCAGTGTGTGTCATCAAAACTTATTAGAAGTAGGGATTTTAAAACATAACCCTAAAATTCTTTAACGTGCCTTCCATTTAGAGGAGGGGCCCATGTCCCCACCCCTCGAATCTGTAACTTGTTGTATAGTTTATAGCAAAAATGATGCTGTGTCCATTTCCAGGTCCAGATCATAAGAAATGGCAGCCTGTGCATTCAGTCTTTTGGAATTTCACCCTTGTGAGATAGCCGGGTAACTTGTGGAGTGGGCTACAGGGGAGGAACTGATGCCCTCTTAACCCACAGCCATAGCTAAATTCCTAGCTGACAGCCAGCACCAACTGTCAGTCATGTGAGTGAATGAATCATCTTGAAAGTGGATGTTCCGCCCCCTAATGGAGCCACTCCAGCTGACAAAACATGGAAAAGAGAGCTATCCTGGCTGAGCTGTGGCCAAATTGTGGAAACAAACAACTGCTATTGTCTGAAATCAATAAACTTGGAGCTGGTTTATTAAGCAGCAATAGATAACCAAAAGAGCAGAATAGGACTTGAATCATGAATGCTAATTATGAAATGGCTTTAGCATTGCACTACAGCAATGTTATATCACATATGCTATAACTAATCAAAATAGAAGGAAGAAAATGTAAGAGTAAAAGTCTGATAAATATCATCAGGCTAACATACATTTTGTCAATCAAGTTTTTAATAAATTTCTCATAGTATTGAGAAAATATTTCAAAAAGCACTAGAAACCTTTGCATTTTATATATAAAAACTATTTGTATATAAGAACTATTTGTTTAAATTTGGTGATATACATTAACTTTGTAGGATTTTATCTACGTTTAGTATTTAATAATGTCATAACCAATAGTACAAACCTACACAGAAAATGCTAATTCTTTAAAAATTTGAAAATTTAGATATTGCCAAATAGAAAACCTACGAAAATAGCAATATATTTTAAATGGAGCTATATTTACAGAGGACTAAGCCTATATGACATAACGAAGCCAAAAAATTACTCATGGTAAAAATGACATGCTAAAACAATATTACATATAATTTACCAAAAGTAAGCACCCAAGAAAGACTAATATTTACTTGAATAACAAAAGAAACTATGGATTAAATAAAAATGTTAAATATGTCTTAACTTCTGTAGTAGAAATATTTTTAAACAATTATGTATGATTCCTTTTCTTTAGAAAACTGAAAACTGACTCTGGGTGGTGAGCACACAATGGGATATACAGATGCTGCATTATAGAATTGCACACTTGAAATCTACGTAATTTTACTAACCATTGTCACCCCAATAAATTTAATTTTAAAAAATCAGTAACTTTAAATAGACTTCAAGAGCTAACAGTACAAAAAAATACATTATAATAAAATAAAGAATAACCTGATAACAAAAAAATCTAGCCACTTAATGTATTTCTTTTTAAGACACAGTTCTATAAAAGAATTGTTTTATAATGAACAAATTTAACCATTTAATGTATTTCTTAACATTTAACAGTTCTACAGGACAAAGTTAACTCTTATTCTCCCAACTATAAACCAGAGAGTTTGATTAATTTTATTTCCTGTACACAATCAACTTTTACAAGACTTACTCAATAATGTAATTAGCAGGGTTATAACACAGAATTGGCACAGGCTCAGTCCTTTTTACTTGTTATAAACCCATAATATAAAAAGCAATGTTCAAAAATGTGAGAAAAATACAAAATACCTTTACAGAGGGAATTGTAGTAGGCTGCAAACTCTGCCTCCCTCTTAAAATGAAAAGCCTGAGAACTAGAATGATTAATTGACTTGTACCAGAGTGAAGCCAGGCCTGGAACCTTGCCACCCGCTTCGCCTCTTGTGTCTTTTCTCATACATTATGCTCCTTCATCTGGCATAAGTGATTCCTATATTGCTACGAAATACACAATCGTGTATGATATAAAGAAAAGAATAAAGCAAAACAATTTCCTCCACTTAAAATTCATCCAATTTCTACTGAAAAATTAGAATTCTTCATTTTATCAAAGTATTTGCTGAAGTATTTTTCTGCACTGCTCATTTTCCAGGTATGTGCATGTTTATGTAATATACAACATTCAAAAAAATTCATTAAATTCTTTCCAAAATATTTATTATAAAAATGAGTTATTTATTACTTGGCACTCTGCTCCTTTTAATATGCCTGATAACATTTTCATTATATTTTCACTTATGATAAATAATGGACACAGGTTGAGAGTATTTTGGGTTTCTAAAAAAATGTTTGTCATATCATGTTATTTAGATTTAATCACCTAAATACCTTTCTATATAGATGGCAAAAGAAGTCAGAGATGTGTTTAATCTTAACAAATTGGCTCAACACTAAACCTTAGCTTACTGTTAGATGACTATAAAAATAGTACTTACCATGTATAATTAGAGTTGCTGTTCAGGATAAATAAAACATGTAGCTAACATATCTAAAACACTTGGCACCATACCTCACATATTACATTGCATACTAATAAATGTTAGTTCTTATAATTACAATCATTTAAACGCAATAAAAAACATGGTAATATTATCAAGATAGCAAAACATGAGATATAGATTTTAAAAATAGCCTACTTAAAACAATGTGTATTTCTCTATTAAAAGGATATTTGCTATGGTTAATTCAAACTGATAAAGTGGTCTTTTAGAAAGTAATGCTTCACATTAACCCTTTTAAATGGCAATATAATCGATATATTTTAAATGGCAAAAGATTTGTAACACCGAAATTTAATGCAACTTACCACGAACAGATGTGCTATACAAAACAAAGTATGTTCTATAAGTATGTTAAAAATTCTTCATAAAATTATAAAAAAATCAAATTAAGAAATTAAATTTCAGTGAGAGGGTACACAGACAATGAATTTAGTGAAATTAATATTAAGGAAAACATTTCTATATTAGATGTACCTACCTGGAGTAGGCAAACAATCGACTATCCCAAAGATCATGATTCCCTCGAGGTCCAGAATGAAAATAACAGGAATCGGTCCCATCAAACATATTCAATCCATCTTCTGAATTTTTTGAAGCATGGCTGTGAACCACATCTAAGAGGACTATAATCCCCATTGAGTGAGCTGTGTCGACCAGTTCTTTTAGTTCTTCAGGAGTTCCGTAACGGCTGAAGGTAAAGAACACAGCAAAACCAAGGTTACATCATATTGAAAGCAAGCAGCTAATCATTTACTGTGTATCAATTGTTTTAGCCGTACAGTACTAGATACTTTAAATATGCAAATGCAGTATAATTCTTAGATACAAGTCAAAGTAGCTTAATATTTGTTATTAAGCAAATTTAAAAGTATTCAATAAAAAATTTCAAAGCAAGATATTACAAGTAGATTTATATACCAATGAAAATTCACATTTTGAGCAGGCAGATTGTAAAACTGCTTCTCTATTCTAGTGTCTGATTTCCATCTCCAAGTCTAACTTGTCCTGGGAACATGGTCCTTCTTGTTCACATACCTGGCCATCCCTTTGAATGTGTATAGTTGAGGTTAGGGGGTTCTTAGAGTATTTCTTTGAATGTCCTTGGTGCCTTGATAGAGGCCATCCCTCCTGCCTTTACTTATTCCTAAACTAAGATGTGCTCAGGTACCACTGGGCCAAGAGAAAATGCCACATATGTCACCACCGAAGCAGAAAAGATACATAACTCATAGGTACATGTGTTTGTGTTAAAAGCAGTTTTCGGGNCCCCCCTTTTCCCCTTCAGTGGCGACCACTGTGCTCCACGGTAGGTCAGAGATGACCAGGGAGTTTTCAAGCTTATAATTCTGAAGAACTGGATTGTGAACGCTGACAAGTTCCCAATTTAGCCTGCTGAGATCATGAAAGTGGTCTGCTTTCCCTCCTTTAACGTACACTTTCATTCAAGAAGCATAGACTTAATCTAGTGACCTTATTTGGAAATCTGATTTAAATTTAAATAATTGATTTTAAGATTCTGACTAGACATGCATTGAAGCTTTTTTTTTTAAAAAAAGTAACCTTTACAATACATTTGAGGGAGACTAAACGAGGTTATAAAAATTGTCACTAAAGAGTGATTTTTTTTCCCTGTTATGTTGTATACAAATTATTTAGGAGTTTAGAAGAGAAAAACATAACCAAATCTTAAAGGCTAGACGTATTTTGACAAAATTGCACTCGTGAGGTGTGCAAACAGCAGTATGTATGTATTACTATACTAGGCAATGGCTAACAAACCTCTGACTAAATTACAATATGATATAGTCAGAACCCATGTGGTCTATCTATTACATTCAGTTCAGAATTCCATGTTTAAGAGAGAGAGAGGCAGGTTCAAGTTTGCTAATAAATAAGAATTTAAAGCCATGTAATGCAATAGGAAAAACAATTGGGGGAAAATGGAAAGACACATTCTGAAAAGAAAAAGAGCCCCAGAGTATAATACTCAAAGGCATACTATAGGGAAAAAGTGATTGGATCTGTTTTGTGAGCTTCTATGGGTTACATATTGGTAGGCAGATTTTTTAACCCAATATAAAAAAAAAATTTCTAATGAAGAGACCTGTCCATGTATGGAATGGACTACCTCATGAGAGGAGTTTCACACTACTGAAGACATTGAAGGGCGGGCAGAATGAGGAATGCTGAAGAAAACACTAAAGATTCAACTATGATATTCAGTCCTCGTCAAAATCTTGAGTCTAAGAATTTTCTAGTATGAGAATTTTCTATAATNCCCCCCAATTTCCCAGTAAAAATCTTTAAAAAAAAAAGCAGTTTTCGAGTCTACATAAAAGAGAAAACAAAAATAACTGCCAAGAGGAGGTCCCTTCTTAATCTATGTAAAATCTTGATATTATAGTCTTCATTAGCATCATCTTTGTCCTTTAAATAAATAATCATCCCTGTGATTGTTTGCTGTCTCTCTTTCTCACTAGACCACATGCTCCTTGAGGGTAGGGCTATGACTCCCTGGCATGGTATAGTACAGCAGTTAGTATATAGTAGGTCTCCTAACAGCCAACTTCAAAGGGCAAAAAGAGCTATAGTTTAAAAATGCAAATGAAGTCATGCAATCTTCGACCTAAAATCATATTTGAGATCCCACTGTCTTATGATAAATACCAGTGTCCTTATCATGACCTGCTGAACTACTTAATCTGGCTCCTTTCAATAACTTCAGACTTCTCCTATGAGACGCTATTCGTTCTTTTCCTTATTCTAGCCACCTAGCCTTTTTTCCTACTCACTGATCAATGAATGAACAGCCCTAAAGTATCATTCATTCATTCATTCATTCATTCATTCATCCATCCATTTGTTTAACAAATACTTGTTAAGCTTTACATACCATATGTCATGAAATCTGCTATGCTGTGAGGATTCAGCAGTGAAAAAAAAAATGTATCACTGCCTTTACGGAATTTACACTCTAGTTGGGAGACAACAAATAAATAAGATATGTGGAATGTCGGATAGCAATAAATTCTCTAAAAAAAAAAAAATGAAGGAAAGCCCCTGGTAGGAAGGGCAGGTTTAAATAGTTATTTTAAATAAGTTCACCAGTGAAAGTTTCATGAGGCAATATTTGTGTGAAGACCTGAAAGATATAGGGAGTAAGACATGTGAATATCTAAGGGGAAAAGTGCTCAGAGAGAATGAGCACTAGGGGCAGAAATGAGCTAGGAGCATTTGAAGAATAGCAAATAGGCTAGTATGTCTGGAATGAAATGATCAAGAAAGA